GCACAGGAGGGTAAGACCCTCTATGAGATGAATTGATTCGGTGACTGGGGTAATCGGAATGGGTGTGTCAGAGGCAGTGCAGTTGGCGCAGGATAGAGCAGGGGTTAGGGCTGTTGTACATAGGGTCGCTATGAGTCGCAAACGACTCGACGGCACATAACAACAACAACAATGACAACTTCACTCTTTTGTCTTTTTATCATAATGCTGTTTATTGGTCCACTTCTATTTTTAATTTATTTAAGGTAAAATGTAGTCCACATGGAAAGTTGTAGTCTTTGAGCTTCGTCATTATGTGCTTTAATTCTCCTTTGTGTTCTGCAGGTGAGGCAGAACAAGTTGTTAATGAGTCTTCATGCAGTCCTGATAGCATTTTTCTTTATATAGTCAAGTTTCCCATACTATTTGTTTTGAAACTGGTAATAGAAAATTTTGACATAAAGAGCAAAGATGGGGCCTCATGTATTCACTAATATTTATTCAATAAGTCTTCACAGAGTATTCTGTATCAAGTTATTTTGTGCTGTTATTGCTGTTATGTGCCTGAGTTATCTTATGAGTCTGAATTGACTTATAGTTTATGCACACCTCTCAGTGCCTTGTCAGAGGCTATAAATAACACAAAGAAGACTTCATAACTTCCTTCCTTAGAGCAGGGATGCCTTTGGGTTGGCAATACACATCCTCACCCACTAGGAATTTGGGGCTAGGAATTATTTAAAAAAAAAAAAAAGAAGACACAGGACTAGCTCTGGAAGCACTTTAGTTAGTAGATGAACCAGATATGTAAATCAATGTTACAGTGTTTAAACCATCTGCATAAGAGATCACAATCGGCAACATGTTCAAGCAAAACACCTTAAAAAAAGGAATTGCATTAAGCAACAGTTAACCACCTCTTTGCCCATCTGGATGCCTTTTTTTCCTTTTCTTGTGTATTGCCCTAAGAAGTACTTCCAAAACAACATTGAGTAGGAGTGATGTAAGTAGGAATCCTTGTCAGATCCCCTGTTCTCAAGGAAAATACTTTTAGTCTTTTTTGATTGAGAGTGATATTGGCTCTTGGTTTTCCATGTATACTCAGCATATGTTATGTTGAGGAAACTCTCTTTTATTCCTATTTTGCTGAATGTTTTAATCAGGGAGGGGTTTTAGATTTTGTCAAATGCCTTTTCCACACCCATTGTTATGATCATGTGGTTCTTGATATTTGCTTTGTTTATGTGGTGAATTATATTGCTTGTTTTCTTATTTTGAATCATCCTTGCCTACCTGTTATGAATCCCACTTGGTCATGATGAATTATTTTTTTTATGTCCTGTTGGATTCTGTTGTCCAGGATTCTGTTAAGGGGTTTTTTTGCATCTATGTTCATAAGAGATATTGGTTGGTAATTTTCT